TCTGATTGTTTTAAACAAAGCTCTATACTTATGCTGGAGAAAAGTCAAGAGCTGCGCCTTGTATTAGGAGAAAGAATTGGCAAGGTGTCTACTGGCCCTTGGGTCTTGGGCAAGGCCATTTTGGGACTCAGACTAGCTCCAACCAGAGAAAACTGTGGTTGCTACACTGATGAGCTCTCCTTGCACCGTGGAAAGGCCATTTGCCCTGCTGCCAGCATGCTTCATCAGCTCATACTCTGTGATACTTGGGGCACCTCCAAATTCTCCTATTAGTCCGGGAAGAGAAATGCTCCTAACAGTCTTTATTTTGCCTTTAATGAAATGACCAGGTTGGTGTTAGAAATGCAATGTGCTGTGTGTCAGCTGAGTGGAAGAAATATCTCCAGGCTGCAGGGAGGAGAGGAAAGGCTTGAAAAACTTGTTCAGCTGCTCAGTGTTCATATTTGTTGTGTGTGCAGTGAACTAGCTGAACCCTGTGCCCCTGCTGGGCCTGTTTTCAGTGTGTGTTACCACAGGGTGAGTTTTCTGCTAAGGTCATCTGTCAGACTGGAGGGGAAGGGCTATTGCTAGTGGCTGTCATTAGAGGCTGCATCATTCTCTTTGCATATTTACTGAGCTAAACTCCAGCCTCAGCTCCCATCTGTGCAGTAAAGGAGGTACCTCTCTACAGTATCTCCAGTGTCCCTGGTGGTGCAGTGGCTAAACCACAGCGTTGTCAACGCTGAGATCTGGGTTCGATTCCCGGTTAGGACACTCCCCGGGCAGATGGAGCTCGCTAGCCCTGTAAGGCAATCCATCTACGTCCTGAGGACCTCGCTGCCACCGTCCAAGCGTGCTTGGCCCCGGCAGATGAACCTCAGGATTAAAGGGTGGGCTCAGTTCCGCGCACACTGTGTCTCACCTAAAAAATNTGCATCATAGCAAATGTCCCTAAGCATATTCAGAAGGAGAATGCAGGCAGCACATTGTTCTTCCCACCTGGTTTTGTTGTTGGGGTTGTTTTCCAGTTCTCTCTTGGGTCTACACAGGAATAAGCAGGTCAACGTAATGACTTTGTTCTGAGAAAGAAATGTAGAAACAATACTTCTATGAATTAATTAAGGGGGAGAGTTAATTGAAAATTCTCTATATTTTGGGGAGCATTGACTGCAACTGGTCTTTTTACCATTGTGAAGCCTTCATCAGTGCAGCTCTCCCCAGACGGCTGCCATTAAGAGAGATGCATAAAAGCTGGGACAGCGTCATAGATACCGTGGAGAGTGGATTGCAATGTTCTGGAAAACCACCCTGTTCGCCACAATAGACACAGGGAATCAAAAGCAGCTCTAGCAGCCACAGCTGCTGTATTTTGGTCCCAGTTAAGGCATTTTATAAAAATGCAATTATGGATACAGATAGCTACTCTCATAAAAATTGTAAATGCTGGATGGGATCCCAACAGACTGCCTACTTCACCTTTCTGTCCTGAAAAAGCTCTAATGATGGACATGCCATAGTCTCTCTTGGAAGTCTGATTGCTTTACAGTGCTTCACTATCTACATAATGTCTAACCTGAATACTTTAGGAGCTTGAACCCATCATTTCTCATCTCATATAGAACATTCATGAAGAACAGATTGTTTCTTCACTCCTTTTAGCAGTAGAAAAATGTTGCCATCTAAAAATCATAATAGAATCATACAACATTTTAGGTCAGAAGGGACCCCAGGGAATTACCTAATCCAACCTCCTGCTCAAAGCAGGGCTAACTTCCAAGGTAGCGCAAGACTATGTCCCAAAACTCCCAGTTTTGAGTGTTTCCAGGGACAGAGATACCACAGTGGCTCCAGGCTCCTGCTCCAGTCCTTAACCAGCCTCATATAACCCTGGATTGGCCCAATCTTGTCATAACAGGATGGTATTGTTGATTTATGATCATCTGGTGACTTCAGCAATTCCCAGGCCTTTTTCTGTAGGACAGCTGTATTTCTAATTGAACTGACTAATTCCCTGTCCTGTATTTGGGTAGCTGATTATCTCTGCTTAAGTGCTGCTTTTTGCATTTGCTCACACTGAATACCATCCCATTTACTTCTGATCCTATTTCCAGTTTGGCAAGACCATTTTGAACTACAGACCTTTAGCATACTAGCAGCCTTTCCTGGCATGATGTTGTCTGTACGTTCCATGGTAAAACTGTCTTCTGAAAATAAAATACTCTTTCCTTTTGTGGGTGGACATATAGGTTAATTTATTTGCACCTCTGTCAGAGCGATGACAGAAGGGCAGAGAAAGCTTCAGTCTGCATTGGACTTTGCTAATAATGGACTTTGTAAAGATAAAAAAAGCAAATGGAATTGATTCAAGATCTATTTAAAGGTGATTCCAGTGTGTTCAGCATGTTTGAGATCAAGCATGAGACAAGTTAGCAGCAGAGACAATTGATCTGGGGTATTTAGAGAGAGAAAGAATGTTTAAATTGATTTATTTAGAATTATTTAGTTTTTTTAAAATTATGATTTGAAAGCTGGCTCTTGGTGGGAACTCTGTGCACACAATGAGCATGTTTGGCCTTGAGCACATGTATCTGGTTTTAGTTAAGCCAGGCTGGCCACACTCATTCCACTCTGCACATGATCTCATTCCACGCTCCTTGTCATGGTATCTGCACACCATCCAGCAATATATTAACAGCGTGAGTAACGTGTCTTATGTTGATTATTCTGTCACCAAGGGAGAAATGTGTCTTGTCTGGTAGGGAACTCTGATTGTTTTAAACAAAGCTCTATACTTATGCTGGAGAAAAGTCAAGAGCTGCGCCTTGTATTAGGAGAAAGAATTGGCAAGGTGTCTACTGGCCCCTGGGTCTTGGGCAAGGCCATTTTGGGACTCAGACTAGCTCCAACCAGAGAAAACTGTGGTTGCTACACTGATGAGCTCTCCTTGCACCGTGGAAAGGCCATTTGCCCTGCTGCCAGCATGCTTCATCAGCTCATACTCTGTGATACTTGGGGCACCTCCAAATTCTCCTATTAGTCCGGGAAGAGAAATGCTCCTAACAGTCTTTATTTTGCCTTTAATGAAATGACCAGGTTGGTGTTAGAAATGCAATGTGCTGTGTGTCAGCCGAGTGGAAGAAATATCTCCAGGCTGCAGGGAGGAGAGGGAAGGCTTGAAAAACTTGTTCAGCTGCTCAGTGTTCATATTTGTTGTGTGTGCAGTGAACTAGCTGAACCCTGTGCCCCTGCTGGGCCTGTTTTCAGTGTGTGTTACCACAGGGTGAGTTTTCTGCTAAGGTCATCTGTCAGACTGGAGGGGAAGGGCTATTGCTAGTGGCTGTCATTAGAGGCTGCATCATTCTCTTTGCATATTTACTGAGCTAAACTCCAGCCTCAGCTCCCATCTGTGCAGTAAAGGAGGTACCTCTCTACAGTATCTCAAGTTTGAGGGCTCCAAAGCCCTTTAGGAGTCTAATTTAATTTTAGCTTCTGCCTGGAAGTTGAGCACTCCTTTTTTGGAGAGGGGTAAAACTGAGGAACTGAAGGCTAAGTCTAATTGCCTCCTTTCTAATACATAGTCCTCAGAACAGATTTTGAGTCAAACATGAGCCCTCCTCAGTCCCTGTGCTCCACTGTAGCTGCTCAGTCTTGTTCTGCTGAAAAGGGCAGGAGAATCCGTGCTTTTGCTGTTTTTGCACAATCCACAGATGGCACTTGCAGTCCCTGCTTCCCAGGTTTGGTCTTTCTTGGCTCAGTAGCCTCCCTGCAAATAAGAACTGAAAGACCTTTCTGGTGCATGGGGTTTTCCTGACCTCCCACTGCTGCTTTTTCCCTGGAGAGTAGCCTCCAACTCATTGAGGACACTGTGGATCCCAAACCTCTGTGTCTCTGGCTCCTTATATGGTAACATGAAGAAGTCTGAGCATTCTAGTTCTGATTTGGACTTACCCTGGTTGTCTTCTCTGCTAGGGAACTAGAAACTTTAAAACCATAGGCAAGCTAGTCCTTACCACCAGGAAACCATCCTTTGGTGCATGCACATGTTTGCTGCTGTCTCACCACTTGCTTAGTGAAGACCAGGCTGCATCAGTAACAATGAAAGTCGCCCTACAAATTCTTTGCAGCAGGTAAAGTTTTAAGCATTCCCAGTATTTTTTCCTTCTGGAAGGGGCTTTAAGATATTTGTTGTTATAACAGCAAAATAAAGAAGCTGAGGTGGACGGAGGGTGCAGACAGGCTGTGGAATAGAGCTGGCTTTTCTGGCAGACAGCATACTACCATGGAGATGGTGGGCAGTGAAAGCAGAAGATAATGGAGCTGGGGACACCTAGGAGAGGCTTGAAGAGGCTCTGCTCTCTTGAGCCATCACATCTAGGCCTGCAGGGAGTGGAGAAGATGTTCCTGAATGGGGGGAGAGGTCTCCTTCATCCCAGATCCAAATGTGTTTTGGTGACTTATCCCTGCCTCTGACAAGCCACCCTACCAAAGAAGCAGAGCAGTGAGCATAGCTAAGGTTTTCTGATTGCCAGACCATCATGTTTGTCTCTGGAAAGTCCTTGAGTGACTGTGTGTATTTTTTGGAGCCTGGAACCGTGCAGTTTTGCACAAGGTTAGCAAAAAGTGCTTTGACAAGGTGGTGCTTTGACACTTGTTGTGCCGGAGTCCTACCCACCCTTCTGCAGGTTATGTCCTCTACTGCTACAAACCCGTGGCTGGCTGTAGTGCTAAAGGCACATATGAGCAGGAAACCACATGGGAAATAACTGCACTAAATGGCTTGGGACACATTTAAGGGTAGAAACAAAGAGTTATGATGGCTAAGGGAGCTCCAGCAAATTTCAGTGGATGTGGGAGTTTGTTCAGGACCAGCTGCTAGCATTAAAAAAGGCATATGAGGATTCTCATGCTGATGAGACTAATCCTGACAAGCAGTGAGAGCTGCACCCCCTGCCACGTATCCCCAGTGCCTTGTCAGCCTCAATTTTTAAAAATAACTGTAGGTTTCTTTTCTCACGGTGCAGGTTCCACCATATTAGCAGAACGGCTGGGATTGTCCACACCAAGCTCACCCACATCAACACCCAATTCCCCCACCGTCCTCTGCAGTGGTGTCTCTGGCCCCTTATTGTCTACATGTGGCTCTGGCCCCCTCTGCAGCTCTATCAGTGGTAAGTGTGGTGGGATCCCCTGCTGCCTATCCTTTGCCCCCCCACTGCCTCCCTTCACAGTCTCACACTTGTCTCCCAGAAGGATTCTAAAACCACAATAATCAACAGACTATTATTATTATTATCCTGTCAGCTCCCCTGGGGAGGAAGGGAGAGCAGAGCCTCTGCAAAGGCTATTTTCAGTCTGTTTTACATGGAAGCTGCTTAGATGCCTAGACAGCAATATTTCTCCAACCCTTTTCATCAGGAAAGGTCCCAAGGGAAGCAGCGATTTTCTGCTCCGTGCACAGCCCTGTGATGCAGAACTTCTGGAGAGCTGTGTGGCAGTGACATGTTGCTAGCTTAGACTGGAGCTAAGGGGTCTGTCTACAGCTCCACCTTCTCTCTCCACATACCTTCAGTACCCTCTTCAGCAAAACATAGTATTGCCGATGAAATACCGTGATATTTAGATAAATGTACGTGCAGTAGAAAAGGATAGGCTGTTCTGCAGCACTTTTAAAACTCCCAGGCACCTCCATGATCCCAAGGCATTGATCGTGGGATATGTAGCTTACCAAATCCTTCTTGCATAGGAACAGCTGTCTCTTGGTTTGCTCTGTGTGGGTAGCAAACCCCAGTAGATGTTGCCTTTCTGCTGTCTTGAGCACTGGCATTAACCAGCGAGTGGGACAGTAGGTCACAGGAAGGAACCCTGGTCCTGTAGTGTCCATTTTTGCTAGGGCATGGTTCTGTGCAGCTGGCTTCAGGGCAGAAATTACCTCGGGATGTCAGGAAGCAACATGAGTAACCCTGTTTTTTTGTGTTGCAGGCACAGCTCCCAACTCTCCAAGCAGCTTGCCTGAGTCACCGATTTTCTCATCCGTCTCAGGGCCCTGGGTAGATGAATGCACCATCTGCTATGAGAACATGGTAGACACAGTCATTTACTCCTGTGGACACATGTGTCTCTGCTATTCATGTGGGCTGAAGCTCAAGAAGATGGCCAATGCTTGCTGCCCCATTTGCAGACGGGCCATCAAAGATATCATCAAAACATACCGCAGCACTTAGAGCAACAGCAGATGCTGTGGTGGGGGACTGGGCAGGTCAGGAGGAGGCCATGAAACAGCACAGGTCTTGGTCTCTATTTATCACCCAGGAGATTCAAAAACTGTCACTCATCATCACCCTGATCCCCTCTTCCACGGACAGCAGATGAGACAAGCTTACGTGCTGCTCGTATACCCTCCAATCAAGCCCTGGGGCTGAACTCCAGTGTGTCAGGGAAGTTGCGATGGATTACTCTCCCTTGTGGATTTTCAACTTTATCTCAAAAAAAGCCAGCTGGTGCAATCATCCCTTTTCTACACCGTGCACAGCAGAGGGGAGTCTCCACTGTTTAGCAAGTACAGCAAGTGGTAAAAGGTTCAGTGCTACACATCTCCTTCTAGAGGCACCCCACGTGCAGAGACAGCAGAAGAGAAGAAACAACCAACATGTTTGTGTACAGCCAGCCTGACCATAGGAGGCCCCTTAGGAAGGATGGAGCAAGGCAAGCTTTGAACCAGTGAGGGAGGTGCAGTGAGCACACTCACAGCAGAAAGGCTGTGCAAGAAAGGAACCCAAGATTTGTGAAGCAAAGCCCACCTCAGCAAACCCCACCATGAAGCAATGCCCGCAGACAGAAGAACAGCCCCACAGCAGCCCCTTGAAGGCTGCCCCCTCACCTCCTCCCTGACAGAGGCATTCAGGGTAGGTTTGGTAACAGCCTTGCTCCCTTCCAGCAGCATCCAGCCACCTCCTATCACCATCCCCTTGCGTGATGAGTGGCTCTCAAACCCCACCACTACCAATTTGTGTGTGGTCTCCACACACCACAAGGGATTCAGCAGCATCTCTATTCCCACAGGCCTGTGGGAGAGGGAGACATATCTCCCTCACCTCTCTCCCACTACCATCCAGACAGCACTTGTGAGGAAAACCCCCAACCTCACCACGGAAGAATGTATAAACCCACATGTCTGTGGGTTTCCTTTACTGGTAACTTTATCACTGTGCTTTAAGACAAAACCAGCCAGGTGGTACTCAACCCTTCACAGCCACACCGGCAGGACATGACTGTCCTTATGTGTTAGGAAGAAAGGAATGGAAAAAAACCCACAAAAACAACCAAACTTGAGGGGTTTGGTTTGCTTTGGTTTATTAAAACAAATCCCCTTCCCTCCTTCAGATGGGAAGATGCTGTCCCCAAGTGGGGAGAATGGCAGCCCCCATGGTTTCTGTGTAAAGAGCTGCTGCTCTGCCATGGCTGTGGGGCTTGACCCACCTGAGCTGGGTGGCTTGGCAGCATTAGGAGATGCCTGTCTCCCCTCCTGACCCATTCTGCTGCCTTCCAGGGCTGCAGGGGAGGGAGAGACTGTGTCTAGGTCCTGAGGGGAGATCAGGGCTGGGGCACCACAGCAGTAGTGTTTGTCCCACCATGTTGCCCATCTGGCCAGACCAGGGAAGGCCATGGAGTTGCACCCTTCCAGCTGAGCTTTTCCTTGCACACCAGCATATGGCCATTGATGGGACAGAGGGGAAGAGCATGGTGCGGGGCTAACAGCATTTAACATACACAGTTGCTTGCTGCAGGGGACATCATGTCCCACATGACAGGAGGTGGGTGAAAGAACACTGGCAGAGGCTGCTCCTAAAACTGCCTGGAAAACACATCCTCCTTGTCTTCTTGAGGAGATGAAAAAAAAAGGGACTACTGGCTGAGGAGCACATTGCAGAGCCTTTCTCTGAAGGTGCCACCATCACTGCAGCTTACCAGGGGGTCTGCAGCTGCCCCCAGCCTGCCCAGCGGGCAGCACTAACTTGAACGCTGATACTCTGGGTTACAGGGATTTATGTTATTTCTTTGCATACCTCTGATGTACAGCCTCAACCCAGCCCTGTCCCCCGGACCAGCCGTCGAAAGCTCCAGAGCATGATGGCTCTCGTGCAGGAGAGCCAGTTGGCACAAGTCGGGGGGAAGTCAGAGCAGCCATGCCAGGAGCACGGCTGGCCCGCAGGCAGGCAGCCAGTCTCCAGCTTGCCTGGGGACAGAGCTGGGACCAGTGCACACAGGAAACCTGTTTCAGTAGTTACACAAACTCCAGTGCAAGGATTTCAGAAAGGAAGAACCCAGGGGGCAAGAAGGTGTTGATTAAATAGTGGATGTGGGGAAACGTGCAATAAGCAGCCTCCCGAGCCTTCACCGCACCAGTGGGACCAGTTTCCCTCCGTGTAGGGCAAGCCAAGGGGTAAACTTTATTTTTCAAGAAAGTCCATCCATGAGTACCAGTGCAGTGGTGTGAATTCCCTTTTCACCTTTTGAATTGAGAGTGTTTTAATATATTAACTGTGTTTGTTTTACTGTGGACCAAACTCTAGGAGTTAGTAGAAGCTGAAAGCTCCCCCAGCATCTGAGCTCAAAAACTGGGGTTCAGTCCTGCTCCCACATCAGCTGCCTCCAGCTGTAAGTAGGAAGGAGAACAAGGCTCTCTCCAGGGAGAGGAAAAAAAACCACCAAAACCAACCAGCAAAACCAGTAAAAGTAACAACAATCCTAATCTTTTGTTTTGTTTGACTGGTGTAGGTTCCCATGTACCTCCGTGTTCTTGTGTCATTTGCATTTCATTGCTTTACTTTAAGATGTTTTGTGTTCTAAGAGAAGAATAACTCATTGTGAAAAATTGGATAACTGTGATCGTGAATAAAGTTGATTTAGATATCCTGCAGCAGCATGAGTGACTGAGTACTTACCACTTCCATCAGCACAGCAAAACATGATGGGTAGCACAGTGAGAGGCTTAAGGAAGAGGGAAGGTGGCACGAGAGGCTCTTCCTTAGAGAGAGCTGGGTGGAGAGATCTCAGGCTTTCCCTTACTGCTTGAGGATGAGAGGGCATTGGAAGATGGATAATGAATATCCCCTTGATGGACACCGTACAAATGTAAGGAATAAAGGAAGCCACAGAAGAAGTGAGGGCTAACAGCATTCCTGAAAGCTTAAGCCCCATGCTCCTGAGCCTCTTCATAGCCTCCCCAGAGAGAAGCCACAGCTTCTCCACTCCCACTGCCTTGTTTACAGTCTCTCCTGAGCGCCTGTAACAATAAAAAAAAAAAAAAACCAACAAAACAAAACAAACCCCACACAGACAAAAAACCACCCTCCACCAACACAAGAAAAAGCACGTTGTGAGGAAAGTCAGGACATGCTCAGGCTAATAGGAGCCAGGTAAGATGGCTGAAGATGAGGCAGATCAGTAGCATCCCAGCCCTGAACATGTTGAGAAGGCTCACTGACAGTCCATGGTCTGGCCAAGGGAGATGCTGAGGTAAGATGCAGATGTTTCCTGAGCATGTAGCAAGGGACACAAGGGAATTTGGATTCTCCAAAGGTGATGCCAGTTCCCTCAAAACCCAGTAGCTCCTCTGCTGCAGGTATCCGCTCAGGAGCACACCTACAACACAGCCATTTGAGATTTTCCCCTCATCCTTTTGTTTCACTGTTCAGCAGATGAGAGACTAGATGGATCATTGTCTTGTCACAGGACGTACTTGAGTTGGCATCTTCTCCCTCAGTGTGGGTGCTCCATCTGTCAAGGGATAGAGACACCCCAGGAGAGGTGTCCTCAGCCTCTCCAGCTGAAACCATTCCTATCGAATATATCCAGTGGCCTAAAACATTCCAGGCTGGGTAGAGCCAAACCACTTCTACAACCCAGCTTTCTCCAACACCAGCCTGAGGAGATCCTAGCTGCAAGACTGCATATACATGTGCTGCCCTCCAAGAGCTGTTCCCAGCCCTTGCTTTGCCGGGGACAGGAGGACCTCTAGTGGGTCTAGAAAGGCTTCTCATCCCCTCAGGAGCAAGGGACAGACTTGCACAACACAGAAACTGGGGACACTGACCTGCCCGACATGCTGTGCCCAAGCACTGCCAGAGATTAAAACAAGTGAACTCTGAGACAAACTCAAATCTTGTCCCCTAGCATCAGCAAGAAGGATCATGGCAGGTCCCCCACGTTTCTTCTCTCACAGCCTCAGTCTGTGCCTTCCCTCCTGCAGCTGCTACGTGCAACAGCCCCAGTGAGCTCTGCATCCTCATCTGCTGAGCATCGCTGGAGTCACCCTGCCCTGCCTCCTCAGGCCATCACTGTCACCTCACCAAATCCAAACCAGAGCTGCAATTTCACCACTGCTCCCAAACTATTCTCCACCAACACCCAACTGTGGTGCAGCACTGACCTTCCCCAGTGACAGGGTATCCTCAGCACTGCAGCCCGATTGCTGCCTCAGGCAGGGCCATCCCCGGGGTATCCCGGCTGCGGCACAGCCCGCGGGCTCCGAGCCCATGGAGGGGCGAGGAGGAGGTGGAGGAACATGAGGGAGGATGCTCCAAATGTGGTCCAGGAGCTGCAGCGCTGGTCCAGCATCGCCACCTGGTGCTCAGTACCCGGCCCGGCACACAACTCCTTCTGAGATCGATTTACTTCTTTTCACAAACACTACAGATTTATATAAGTAGGACCAGAAAAATTTAGTCTTCAGTGCAGCACAACTCTGGCAGGAGCTCTCAGAGAAAAATGGGCAAGAGGGGAGCAATTAACAGTGAGTTACAGTGCACAAGGGAATACATTAGTAGATGGTGATTGTACCAGCCCAGAAAAACCCTTTCAACCCCAAGCTGGCTGGCTCACTCGGCACAAGGGAAAGAGAGGGCACAGTTCCCAGGCACACTTGCCACTAAGTTTGTGCCTTAAAATGCCCAGGACTGTGTGCCATGTCAGATCTAATTTCTGGCATCCTTCAGAGAGCTGGGGTGCCTGAACAGGACTTCATGTGCAGCATCCACCTACGTGCCAGCATGGAGAAACATCTCCATAAATCAAGTTGGGAACTGAAGTGCTAGAAAAGAACCTTGCTGCTTCTCTACTATTACATCCCTTGTTATAACCATCTCCCTTCATTATATCCCCTAATCCACTGCCTTCAGCATCCCCAAGAGAAATCCTACATATGGAGAAGGGATCCATTACTAGTTTTACCCGTCTGCAGCTTTGCACAGGAAAGAACTTCCACTTATTGAGCTATTTGGGCCTCTGACCTTCAAAGCCAGGTAAGAGGAGTAAGCAGTGCCCAGCAACCTTGCAGGATCACACCTTAATAGGCCGTGTTCAAGCATCATTTGCTCTGCAGCCTGAACACAGGGGCTCATCCCACTTTGCAGAGCAACCCATTTATCACAGAACCAAAGGACCACTTTTGTAAAAGTATGCTTTTCTTCTTATTTTGGATCTGATGCCATAACCTTCTCCAAAAAATCATCCTGACTGAATACCTTACAAACTTGCTCAACACAAATGTTCTTCATGTTTGAGGGCTGAGGTGACCAGCACATAAACTTTGTAGAACAGAAAAGAGACAAAAATACAGCATACAGTAACAACTCAGAGCCTGGGAACAAGACTAGCTCCATTATCCATTTAGCCTAAGCTGAAATTTGCAATTGCATGAACACACAAGTTGTAAGGTATTCTGGGAAAGATAAATTCAGTGGTTTGACAAACACAAGTGGAACCAAAACAGTGCTGAAAAAATTAGAAAAATAAAC